TTCCTTCTCCATGCTACCACCGCCTCCACTAATCAACGACAACCATGAGAGCGCACAATGCATATCTGATATCCTCCTATGATGTTCATCGCTTCTCACGTTAACTATCAGCACATTTCTTTTCTCGACACTACTCGAAATAGATTTCCACGAGTCCCCGCAGAGATAGACGTGCGCTTTGGCCCAGCATCCGCCCGCCTTGGCGCACGGCGACACCGCCAAGTCTTCCCTTTTCCGCGCGACGTCGCGAGGCGGCGTCGCAGCCGGCGCGATCGCGAGAGGGGAGTACCACGAGTCGTCCTCGAACAACCGCGAGCGCGACAGAGACCGAGACCGAGACCGCGACCGAGACCGCGACAGAGATCGCGACAGAGACAGGGAGTACAGCGCCTCGCGCAGGCACCGGGAGCGTGACGCGCGCGGGGAGACCAGGGATCCGCGCGACAGGAAGGACAAGAAGAAGCTCGGGACGCTCGGCGCCATGGGCATTGGTGGTGCGGCGGGCAGTTTGCTGAGCGTCCTCACCGAGGCGGCCAACGGCGCGGGGTTCTAAGCCTCGTCTTTACCCTGTCTTTCTTTTGTTGTACATGGGAGGTGAGCTTGTACATGAGCAGCGGATCGATGTACGTTATGAATTTGTACGAAGAATGTTCATTTCCTTCGAGGGGGTGTGAGTGAGAGGGGGCTGTGCTATGAGGAGGATTCGTTGCCATGACATTCCGTGTACGCCTACATTTCCTGTTCCCTTAGCAAGCAAAGATACCAGTTCGTTTTCGTTCGTGACAGTAGACAGACGCAATGCTTTCCAACAAGATTCTTCGTGACAGACGCCTGTGCCTCATCGCCTGCCATGCAACCGCCTGTGCCGTCCCTGTGTATACCGTGCGCCTTACGCCTGCGTTCCCTTTCCGTCACCATGACCTGCCTGGCAGTCTTCTTCCTCAAGCTTCTCACAGCGCCCTCTTCCTGACAGCCTTTTCCTCCAGCCTCTCACAGCGCCCTCTTCCTGACAGCCTTCTTCCCCACAGCCTGCCCCTCCTCGCCGAGCATCCTCCGCATAAGCTCAGCCTTGCACTGCGCCGCCTCGGGATCGTCATACCGCACCTGTGTCGCCGGCGGCGGCTGCGCCGCGTCGTCGTGCGCCTGCTGACG